CCCCAAAACCCCAAAACCCCAAAACCCCAAAACCCCTTTTTTCTAGAAGAAGATTGAATAGATTTATTTAAAATTACTTCATTAATTCTGATCCTCTACTGCCAGCTCAAACACGAGCTAGCATTTAAGTTAAGAGATTTTGTTTAGTTATTCATTTCTTAACAGATCAATAATTGCTTTGTTCTTATCAGCATAGAAAGCTTGCACCTTTATTGACTCAACCATCTGCTCTTTAGTGAGGTCTCTCAAGTAGTCAATGTCTCCTTTCAGTGAGTAATAATGCTTCTTTGGGATCATTATGGGCTTAGTCGTATCTGTCTGCATAGATTCCTCTTGGAAGTTCTTCTGTGATTCTAAGCAAACTTAATCATCAAATTATGGTAAAATTTTGCCAAAGTAAATTTTAAATAGAAGTCGAACAAAAAGTAGCAATCAACTAAAAATTGACCAAAATTTAGTTGATGAAATCGGAAATTATAGAGATCTTTTACCTTGAGAGAGTTCATTAGATTCTTCCTGGCTTTGAAACTGAGTATACTTCAATCACGAATTAATACGATGGCTCTTAATATTTTCATCTCTACTTTCTCTTGCTAGGTCAAGGTCTATCATCTTTTGCTCGACTTCTCTCATGGAGGAGTCAACCATCACTCTTCTTTTCTGGTTTGCTCTATATTAGGTATAAATTTACTTCATTGAAAGCTAGCTGTATAGCCTGAGTACTCAAAAACTCATCGAATTTGAATAATTTCACTCACCTCAAATACCCAGGATCCTTCTTACCAGAACTGGGTGATGAAGATTGATAGGTTGATTCTGCATCCATGTATCATTCCTCATTCATTTCATTAAACCGTCTCTTTCTTTTTACATCTGAGGTTCTTTGAAAAGGGTTTTGAGACCTATCACTATCAAAATTGTTCATATTGATGAATAATTATATTATTCAATTTCAATGCCAAATTTTAATGCGGGGTTTTGGGGTTTTGGGGTTTTGGGGTTTTGGGG